TTATGTGATGCCATCGGTATGCGGGGGTCCACTGTACTGTGTTTTATACTGTAAGGTTTAGGATAAACACTGTGTACATCACAAACAGTTGTTTATTTCCCAGAAATTTGGCATACAAAACACAGTCGTAAGTCAAGTGGTCGTATGTCGAGCAGGTCATAAGGCGGATGGTAGGTGTATTACTGAACTGGTGTGTTAAAAAAAAAGAAAGATCTGGATATTTTGCTCCACATGTGCCAAGCTCTAGATATATAATTTTTTTGTTAGAATTGTAGGCAAAAATGAGGAATGTGTGGTTAGATTGACTGTTGTGTTTATCTTCACTAAATACGATAAGTTGGTTTTGGTACTCATAGCCTGAGGAGTGAGGACCACTGGTAATTGTTGCAATTAGTAAGATTCAACAAGAGCAGCACTGCTACCTACTTAGTGCCAGGCAGGCAAGAGACAAGCCTGGTCCTAGGATGGGCTGTGAGAATAGGAAGACTTTCAAAATTGGCCGCACAGGCATATCAAGATACAGTGGACCCCCGGTTCACGTTATTAATCCATTCCTGAGAGCTCATCGTAAAGCAAAATTATCTGAAAGCGAATCAATTTTCCCCATAAGAAATAATGGAAATCAAATTAATCCGTGCAAGACGCCCAAAAGTATGAAAAAAAAACTTTTACCACATGAAATATTAAGTTTAATGCAATAGAATAATTACAATAACAATAATAACAATAGAATAATCACAATAGAATAATTGACACTTACCTTTAATGAAGATCTGGTGATGATTGATGGGATGGGAGGAGGGGAGAGTGTCGAAGTTTTTAATGTTTAGAAGGGGAATCCCTCTCCATTAGGACTTGAGGTAGCAAGTCCTTTTCCGGGGTTACTTCCCTTCTTCTTTTAATGCCACTAGGACCAGCTTGAGAGTCACTGGACTTCTGTCGCACAACATATCTGTCCATAGAGGCCTGTACCTCTCGTTCTTTTATGACTTTCCTAAAGTGGTTCACAACATTGTAAGTGTACAGGTTGCCAACACAGCTTGCAGTGCTGTGTCAGGGTGATTTTCATCAAAAAATCTTTGCACTTTAAGCCACATTGCACACATTTCCTTAATCTTTGAAGTAGGGAACTTCATCAATTTCTCTATCCCCTCCTCCGAAGCAGTTTCCTCAGGTGTGGCCTCTTGCTGTCGAAGATGATCTAGCAGCTCATCAGTGGTTAGTTCGTCATTGTCCTCCTCCACCAACTCTTCCACATCCTCCCCACTAACCTCCAACCCCAAGGACTTTCTCAATGCCACAATGGATTCCTCAACTGGCATAGAATTCCCAGGGTTAGCCTCAAACCCTTCAAAATCCCTTTTGTTTACACATTCTGGCCACAATTTCTTCCAAGCAGAGTTCAAGGTCCTCTTAGTCACTCTCTCCCAAGCCTTACCTATAAGGTTTACACAATTGAGGATATTAAAGTGATCCTTCCAAAACTCCTCTAGAGTCAATAGAGTTTCTATGGTCACTTCAAAGCACCTTTCAAACATAGCTTTTGTGTACAGTTTCTTCAAGTTGGAAATGACCTGCTGGTCCATGGGCTGCAGGAGAGGAGTGGTGTTAGGAGGCAAAAACTTGACCTTAATGAAGCTCATGTCCCCACAAAGTCGCTCTGCCAAGTCTGTAGGATTACCAGGGGCATTGTCTAACACCAGGAGGCACTTAATGTCTAATTTCTTTTCAATTAGGTAATTTTTCACAGTGGGGGAAAATGCATGGTGTAACCAGTCATAGAAAAAGTCCCTAGTGACCCATGCCTTACTGTTTGCCCTCCACAGCACACACAAATTAGCCTTGAGGATATTCTTTTGCCTGAACACTCTGGGAGTTTTAGTGATACGCCAATAAAGGCTTCACTTTGCAATCACCACTAGCATTGGCACACATCAACAGAGTAAGCCTGTCTTTCATAGGCTTATGTCCTGGGAGTGCCTTTTCCTCTTGAGTAATGTAAGTCCTGCTTGGCAATTTCTTCCAAAACAGGCCTGTTTTGTCACAATTAAACACTTGTTCAGTTTCAATCCTTCAGCCTTTATGTACTCCTTGAATTCATGCACATATTTTTCAGCTGCTTTTTAGTCTGAACTGGCAGCCTCACCATGCCTAATCACACTATATATGCCACTACGATTCTTAAATCTTTCAAACCAACCTTTGCTGGCCTTAAATTCACTCACATCACCACTAGTTGCAGGCATTTTTCTAATTAAATCCTCATGCAACTTCCTAGCCTTTTCACAAATGATCGCTTGAGAGATGCTATCTCCAGCTATCTGTTTTTCATTTATCCACACCGATAACAGTCTCTAAACATTTTCTAACACTTGCGATCGCTGTTTTGTAATCACAGTTGCACCTTTTGCAAGAACGGCTTCCTTAATTGCCGTTTTCCTGCTCACTATAGTAGAGATGGTTGATTGGGATTTACTATACAACTTGGCCAGGTCCGACACACGCACTCCACTTTCATACTTTGCAATTATCTCTTTCTTCATTTCAATAGTCATTAGCACCCTTGGTCTCGATGGATTGGCACTAGAAGCTTTCTTGGGGCCCATGGTGACTTATTTTGCAGAAACAAGCACCAAAAACAGTGATAATATGGATAATATGGAATGTATCCTTAGATGCGAGCACACTGGCTGGCTTGTAAACACTGGCACCCACGGGGCAGTTCAGGCCACACATGGACACGTCTCGTACGAATCGTATCGTGTACTGGGTTTTGTAACGGGAACCGAGGCAAATTTTTTGCAATATAATGCTTCGGATACCAGATTTATCGGTTACCGATGACTCCGCGAACCGGGGGTCCATTGTATATTATTCAGTGAACTCAGATTTATCTGTAGTAAACAACTCTAAATGAATGGTAGGCTCGAACCTTGGTCCCAAAATTAGCAGGCCCAATATTGGCTCTACATGTACAGAAATAAAATTTCTAAATACAACTGTAAAAAAACATACAAAAAAAACCGCAAGAACACTGTTTTAATCCAAAATTACGGTCACAGTTTGTTTTTCTCTTATGTACTGGGTACTGTAGGATTTGTTTTATGTGGTGCATACTTACCACATAGATGTGTTCTCTCATATCGAGGCCCAGATTTACTATTCAGAGGTTATCTGAGTGAGCTGAGCTCATGGCGTTAGATCTACGGTTTGGACCTTGGCTTCAAAGCCGTAGATCTATGGCACAGACCCTGAAAGGGTTAAATGCACTATTAACACTGCACAATTTATGAAGCGTCAAATATGAGTAATCAAACTTCCAATTTTGTCTTTTATATTTTGCTCTTAATATTTTAACTTTGTAAATGTAAGATTTTCAGCAGCAAAAATTGTGTACATTTTTCATGCTTTTAGGGTTGTATTTTATGGTAGAGTTATTATTGAAAGAATTAAAAGTAAGACGGAGAATAGGATAGCAGATGAACAAGGAGGCTTTAGGAAAGATAGGGGGTGTGTGGACCAGGTGTTTACAGTGAAACATATAAGTGAACAGTATTTAGATAAGGCTAAAGAGGTCTTTGTGGCATTTGTGGATTTGGAAAAGGCGTATGACAGGGTGGATAGAGGGGCAATGTGGCAGATGTTGCAAGTGTATGGTGTAGGAGGTAGGTTACTGAAAGCAGTGAAGAGTTTTTACGAGGATAGTGAGGCTCAAGTTAGAGTATGTAGGAAAGAGGGAAATTTTTTCCCAGTAAAAGTAGGCCTTAGACAAGGATGTGTGATGTCACCGTGGTTATTTAATATATTTATAGATGGGGTTGTAAGAGAAGTAAATGCGAGGGCTTGGCAAGAGGTGTGGAGTTAAAAGATAAAGAATCACACACAAAGTGGGAGTTGTCACAGCTGCTCTTTGCTGATGACACTGTGCTCTTGGGAGATTCTGAAGAGAAGTTGCAGAGATTGGTGGATGAATTTGGTAGGGTGTGCAAAAGAAGAAAATTAAAGGTGAATACAGGAAAGAGTAAGGTTATGAGGATAACAAAAAGATTAGGTGATGAAAGATTGAATATCAGATTGGAGGGAGAGAGTATGGAGGAGGTGAATGTATTCAGATATTTGGGAGTGGAACGTGTCAGCGGATGGGTCTATGAAAGATGAGGTGAATCATAGAATTGATGAGGGGAAAGAGTGAGTGGTGCACTTAGGAGTCTGTGGAGACAAAGAACTTTGTCCTTGGAGGCAAAGAGGGGAATGTATGAGAGTATAGTTTTACCAACGCTCTTATGTGGGTGTGAAGCATGGGTGATGAATGTTGCAGCGAGGAGAAGGCTGGAGGCAGTGGAGATGTCATGTCTAAAGGGGAATGTGTGGTGTGAATATAATGCAGGGAAATCGTAGTTTGGAAGTTAGGAGGAGGTGCGGGATTACCAAAACTGTTGTCCAGAGGGCTGAGGAAGGGTTGTTGAGGTGGTTCGGACATGTAGAGAGAATGGAGCGAAACAGAATGACTTCAAGAGTGTATCAGTCTGTAGTGGAAGGAAGGCGGGGTAGGGGTCGGCCTAGGAAAGGTTGGAGAGAGGGGTAAAGGAGGTTTTGTGTGCAAGGGGCTTGGACTTCCAGCAGGCATGCGTGAGCGTGTTTGATAGGAGTGAATGGAGACAAATGGTTTTTAATACTTGACGTGCTGTTGGAGTGTGAGCAAAGTAACATTTATGAAGGGGTTCAGGGAAACCGGCAGGCCGGACTTGAGTCCTGGAGATGGGAAGTACAGTGCCTGCACTCTGAAGGAGGGGTGTTAATGTTGCAGTTTAAAAACTGTAGTGTAAAGCACCCTTCTGGCAAGACAGTGATGGAGTGAATGATGGTGAAAGTTTTTCTTTTTCGGGCCACCCTGCCTTGGTGGGAATCGGCCAGTGTGATAATAAAAAAAAAAAAAAAATTTCTTCTTGTACCAATTGTCATTAATGAAATAAATGAAAGTGGAGCATTTCATTTTCCAGTCACAATCAAGACTGGGCGGTGTTTGCTGGGGAGTGCAGCACTGGGGAAAACTGCATCACCCCAGGACTGTACGCTATGGTAGGAGCAGCAGCTGTACTCGGTGGAGTCACACGCATGACAGGTAATGATCAGTCACTCTACACTTTTGGAGTATAACTGAATTTTTTCACACATACTGAATGTCTAGTAACTCCTTTTTCTGTAACAGTTACTGAGAAGAAAAACAAATCAGTTTGTAGGTCATTAGATTTGTGATGATCATGCTTTTCTGGCAAGATGGCTATTGAATATGTGATGAATGTGTTCCTTTCTTTGGGTTACCAAATCTTTAATAGGGAACAGCCAGCATGTAATTTTTTTCTTTATAAATGCTGAAAAATCCTCAATCTTCAACACTTAAAATATTAAAATGAAAAAATCATTTAATAGTTTTCCTTTTTGGGTATAATCAAGATTAACCCTTTGAGGGTCCAGCCTCTCAATCTGAAATTTCCCCACTAGGTCCAAGAATTTTCAAAAAATAAAAAAGTTATTTTTAATTATGAAATGGTAGAGAATCTTTTTCTGGAGGTAATAAAAAGAATGAAATTTAATGAAAAATTGATGGAATTACACTCGTGAATTTTGCTGTGTCAGCAATATTTACGCATCAGCGATTTTGCCCACTTTGAGTCCTATTTTTCGCAAATTACATTGTTCCATTAGACCTAATTGTTAGCTATTTTGCTAGTATGTGTTCCATTTTATCTATTGAGTACAAGAAATTGCCCAATCAACTATTTCAACTACCCAGTAAAGTGATCAGAAATTGGTAATTTGGCCAGTTTCACACAATTCAAAATATTTCAGTTTGAAAATAGGGTTCAGAATAAACAGTGCAGGCATTCCTGGCACTATAATAACATTTCCTCTGTTTATTAGTTACATTTCCAGGCTTTACAAATGAATTCCATTTTGTTTTTTATTTGTATAATGTGTTAGTAGTACTGTGCACTTGTGTGGTATACTTAGTTAATCCTTTCAGGGTCCAGAGGCCAAATTTCAAAGTTAACCCTTTCAGGGTCCAGAGGCCAAATTTCAAAGTTAACCCTTTCAGGGTCCAGAGGCCAAATTTCAAAGTGTGCACCAGGGTCCAAGAATTTAAAAAAAAAAATTATTTTTTCTTATGAAATGGTAGAGAATCTTTTTCTGAAGTTAATAAAACAAAAAGTACGAAATTTGATGAAAAATTGACGAAATTATGTTCTCACGAATTTCGATGTGTTAGCGATATTTACAAATCGGCGATTTTGCCGATTTTGACTCCCATTTTATGCCAATTACATTATTCCAGTCGACCAAATTCTTAGCTATTTCACTAGTATTACTTCTATCGATTGAGAACAAGAAATCGCCAAGTCAACTGTTTCAACTACAAAATAAAGTGATCAGAAATTGGTAATTTGGCCAATTTAACACAAAGTTCAAAATATTCCAATTTCAAAATAGGGTTCAGAATAAACCATGTAGGTATTCCTGGAACTAAACTAACATTTCCTCTGTTCATTAGTTATGTTTTGAGGCTTTACAAATGAATTCCATTTTGATTTTTTATTCACATAATGAATTTTTATTCAAACCAAAAAATAGAAGATTTACTGTTATGCAATATTGTAATAATTGTATAAATATCATCACCACATTTGTGAATATATATTAGACCCACTAGCTGGCGTGTATTAAACGTGTGAGGTCGTTTGTTTACTCTTGATCATCGGCAAAAATTTAACATTTCCGCTACTTTGAGCTCAGTTTCCATTCCATTTCCAGTGCTAAAACCAATCAAAATCATCTCTATTTCTGTAATATGTCTTCCATTCTATCAAATGAGACCAAGAAATCGCAAATACATCTATAAAAAACATACGAAAAAACTGCAAAGTCGCTGTTTTAATTGAAAATCACGGTCTCGTTTTTTTTTCTCTCATTATACACTGTGTGCTGCAGGATTTGTTTTGTGGTGCACACATACCACATAGATGTATTCTCTCATATCTAGGCCTAAATTTACCACTCACAGCTTATCAGAGTGAGCTGAGCTCATGGCGTAGATCTACGGTTTGGACCCTGAACGTAAACCGTAGATCTACGGCACGGACCCTGAAAGGGTTAAATTCGTTACTTTATAGTGATGCTCCCTAGCTCATTTGAACCGCCTGTCTCATATGGTAGGCATAGTAGACTGGACAGGCAGGCCCTGGGCTCCCCTCAACTCACATTAACCCTTTCAGGGTCCGTCCCGTAGATCTACGGCTTTACGTTCAGGGTCCAAACCGTAGATCTACGTCATGAGCTCAGCTCACTCTGATAAACTGTGAGTGGTAAATTTGGGCCTAGATATGAGAGAATACATCTATGTGGTATGTGTGCACCACATAAAACAAATCCTGCAGCACACTGTGTATAATGAGAGAAAAAAACTGAGACTATGATTTTTTATTAAAACAGCGACTTTGCAGTGTTTTTTCGTATGTTTTTTATAGTTGTATTTGTGATTTCTTGGTCTCATTTGATAGAATGGAAGACATATTACAGAAATAGAGATAATTTTGATTGGTGTTAGTACTGGAAATGGCTTGAAATTGAGCTCAAAGTGGCGGAAATGTTAAATTTTTGCCGATGTTCAAGAGTAAACAAACGACCTCACACGTCTAATACACGCCAGCTGGTGGGTCTAATATACATTCACAAATGTGGTGATGATATTTATACAAATTATTACAATATTGCATAACAGTAAATTTTTCTATTTTTTGGTGAAATAAAAATTCATTATGTAATAAAAATCAAAATGGAATTTATTTGTAAAGCCTCAAAAACATAACTAATGAACAGAGGAAATGTTAGTTTAGTTCCAGGAATTACCTACATTGTTTATTCTGGACCCTTTTTTGAAATTGGAATATTTTAAAACCTTTGTTTTAAAAATTTGGGCCCAAAATTTTCCCAATTTCCCGGTCACTTATTTTGTAGTTGAAACAGTTGACTTGGTGATTTCTTGTGCTCAATCGATAGAATAGAAGTAATACTAGTGAAATAGCTGAGAATTTGGTCGACTGGAATATTGAAATTTGGGCCCTAAAATGGGAGTCAAAGTCGGCAAAATCGCCGATTCGTAAATATCGCTGACACATCAAAATTCACGAGAGCATAATTTCGTCAATTTTCCATCAAATTTTGTACTTTTTGTTTTATTACATTCACAAAAAGATTCTCTACCATTTCATAAGAAAAAATAACCATTTTTTTTTTTTTTTTTTTAAATTCTTGGACACGGGCACCACTTCAGATTTTGGCCTTGGACCCTGAAAGGGTTAATTATATGCCTCCAGACATTCAACTAGTGTACTTCTTACTCCAAAATCTCCTCTGAACCCCACACGACAAATGAATTTTTATTCACACCAAAAAATAGATTTACTGTTATGCAATAGTGTAATAATTGTATAAGTAATATCAGTGCATTCGTGAAAGCACATTAGACACACCAGCTGACGTGTGTTGGACGGGTGATGAGGTTTGTTCACTCTTGAACATCAGCAAAAATTAAACATTGCTGCTATTTTGAGCTCAATTTCAAGCTATTTTCAGTACTAAAACCAATCAATATGAATCATCTCTATTTCTGTAATATGTTCTCCATTCTATCAAAAGAGACCAAGAAATCACAAATACAACATTAAAAAACCATGAAAATGCACCGCAAAGTCACGGTTGCAGTTTTTTCTCATTATGCACTGCGTGCTGCAGGATTTGTTTTATATCGTGCACACTTACCACATAGATGCATTCTCTCATATCTAGGCCCAAATTTACTGCTCACAGCTTATCTGAGTGAGCTGAGCTCATGACGTAGTACTATGGGTTGGATCCAGGCTTCAAAGCCATAGAACTATGGGACGGACCCTCAAAGGGTTAATAAATGGTGTGTTAAGTCTTTGATTCAGGATAATGTGTGTTGGTTTTTCAGAACTAATGTAGAAAAACTTCAGTTGCCAAGCCTAGTTGACCAGGCAAGCACCAGACAAGGTTTGCCCAAGGACAGGCTCCGGGAGTAGAAAAATTTGTTCAACTCGTCCAAGGTATCATGTTTACAAATAACTAAAAACAAGTTTTTTGTTTCAGTGTCGCTGGTTGTGATAATGTTCGAGTTGACAGGAGGAGTACGATACATCGTGCCCCTTATGGCTGCAGTTATGGCAAGCAAATGGATTGGAGATGCATTTGGCCGTGAGGGTATTTATGATGCTCACATCATCCTCAATGGTTATCCTTTCCTGGATTCCAAGGAAGAGTTCAGTCACACTACCTTGGCACATGATGTGATGAAACCAGGGTTAGTAATTCCTCTAAACTTTTGTCTTCTTCTCCCTAGTATAATTACTTGATAAATACTGTCATCTTTCTAGAGGATGTCAGTACAAATGCTTTACCTCTGAAATTATCTTCACTATGAATAGCATAATTGTACTATGCAATTATGTACTGTAATCTACTCTGTATACTGTATATGTGTATGTAATTACGTATACGTATGTGTATGTAATCTCCGCCTATATATATAATGTCTTTCTACCTCTGTATGTTAGAAGTGATCAAGTTCCTAGGACCGAAACGTTTTCTGATAAATATGTTATAGTGTTTGCTTACGTGTCTTTCTAAACCAACTTGTCGGTATTTATTACCAAGGTTTATACCATGTAATTATGTACCTGAGTTTTGAGCATAAACTCTAGTTCATTCCCACAAACAATTTTAACAAGTCTTAAGTTGGTTTTGTCAAGCTTTGTCAATGACCTGATGAAGGTCAGTGAAGAATGAAACAACAAATACAACTTTGCTCTACACTAGTCTCTTCTGTAATGGTTCGTGCACTATGTTAGCAGAATGCTCATTAACAATGAATCGAGTCATTTTTATGTTCAGGCATGCCTCGCTAATACAAGGGGTTAGGTTCCAGACCACCACTGTTACGTGAATATCACCTTAAAGCAAATCACAGCCTTGTATTTACTTGCGACTGCATATAAAAGCCTATTTATTAACCCCTTTCAGGGTCGAGAGGCCCTCTCCTAAACTCGTTCTCAGGGTCGAAAATTTTTAGAAAAAAAAAAAATATTTTTTCTTATGAAATGATAGAGAATCTTTTCCCGAACATAATGACACCAAAAGTACGAAGTTTGATGGAAAACTTAGGGAATTATGCTCTCGCGAAGTTAGCAGTCTTGACAATGTTTATGCATCGGCGATTTCGCCCACTTTGAGTCATATTTTCAGCCGATTCCAGTGTACTAGTTGACAAAAATCATATCTCTTTTGCTAGAACTCCATTTTTTCTATTGAATGAGTACAAGAAACCACCCATTTACCAATTTCAACTATCCAATAAAGTGGTCAGAAATTGGCAGTTTTGCCAATTTCACACAAATTTCAGAAGATGCCAATTTCCAAACAGGGTCCAGAATGAACAAGACAGACATTCCTGGCACTCAAATAACATTTTCTCTGTTCATTAATCACGTCCCCAGGCCCCTCTTACATCTCTTTTGCTTTCCACTTTGAATTTTTATTCCCACAAAAAAATAGAAGATTTACTGTTATGCAGACTACTGCATTAGTAGAGAAATGGTATATATAATATCAGCGCACTTATGAAAGAATATTTGCCTCGCCAGTTGACGTGTATTGGATGCTTGGCATGATTTTTTTACCTTTGAACTTTGGTAAAATTCGAACATTTCTGCTACTTTGGGCTCAATTTCAAGGTACTTTTCATTATGAAACCAATCAAAATCATCTCAATTTCTGTAATACATCTTCCATTCTATAAAGTGAGACCAGGAAAACTAATATACAACCATAAATACCATACTCAGTAAAAGTAGGCCTTAGACAAGGATGTGTGATGTCACCATGGTTGTTTAATATATTTATAGATGGGGTTGTAAGAGAAGTAAATGCGAGGGTCTTGGCAAGAGGCGTGGAGTTAAAAGATAAAGAATCACACATAAAGTGGGCGTTGTCACAGTTGCTTTTTGCTGATGACACTGTGCTCTTGGGAGATTCTGAAGAGAAGTTGCAGAGATTGGTGGATGAATTTGGTAGGGTGTGCAAAAGAAGAAAATTAAAAGTGAATACAGGAAAGAGTAAGGTTATGAGGATAGCAAAAAGATTAGGTGATGAAAGATTGGATATCAGACTGGAGGGAGAGAGTATGGAGGAGGTGAACGTATTCAGATATTTGGGAGTGGACGTGTCACCGGATGGGTCTATGAAAGATGAGGTGAATCATTGAATTGATGAAGGGAAAAGGGTGAGCGGTGCACTTAGGAGTCTGTGGAGACAAAGAACTTTGTCCTTGGAGGCAAAGAGGGGAATGTATGAGAGTATAGTTTTACCAACGCTCTTATATGGGTGTGAGGCATGGGTGATGAATGTTGCAGCGAGGAGAAGGCTGGAGGCAGTGGAGATGTCATGTCTGAGGGCACTGTGTGGTGTGAATATAATGCAGAGAATTCGTAGTTTGGAAGTTAGGAGGAGGTGCGGGATTACCAAAACTGTTGTCCAGAGGGCTGAGGAAGGGTTGTTGAGGTGGTTCGGACATGTAGAGAGAATGGAGCGAAACAGAATGACTTCAAGAGTGTATCAGTCTGTAGTGGAAGGAAGGCAGGGTAGGGGTCGGCCTAGGAAAGGTTGGAGGGAGGGGGTAAAGGAGGTTTTGTGTGCGAGGGGCTTGGACTTCCAGCGGGCATGCATGAGCGTGTTTGATAGGAGTGACTGGAGACAAATGGTTTTTAATACTTGACGTGCTGTTGGAGTGTGAGCAAAGTAACATTTGTGAAGGGATTCAGGGAAACCGGCAGGCCAGACTTAAGTCCTGGAGATGGGAAGTACAGTGCCTGCACTCTGAAGGAGGGGTGTTAATTTTGCAGTTTGAAAACTGTAGTGTAAAGCACCCTTCTGGCAAGACAGTGATGGAGTGAATGAAGGTGAAAGTTTTTCTTTTTCGGGCCACCCTGCCTTGGTGGGAATCGGCCAGTGTGTTAATAAAAAAAAATACAATGCGTAAATACACTGCAAAGTCACTGTTTTAAAACAAAAACATGGTTGGAGTGGGGTTTTTTTTTCTCTCGTTATGCACTGTGTGCTGCAGGATTTTTTTTTATACTGTGCACACTGACCACATAGACCCATTCTTTCATATGTAGGCCTACCAGCTTTTTCTCACTAGATTTGAAGGCGCTAGAATTTAGGCGTACTAGTACGTCAATAACACTGGTGCGTAAGCCGTACTAGTACGTCAGAAACCCTGAAAGGGTTAAGTCATTTATTAAGTCTCCAGTAGGGCTAGGCCTAAAAAATAATGATGCAAAAGTAAAAATAATAAGAATAACGTCACTGCTGAAAATAATGAACGTGTATATAATAGTTTTAAAAATGCAGTGTTCGAATGTAGGGCAGCAGTTTGTGGGTATAGGAGGGTGGGTGGGAGGAAAGATGAGGTAAAGGGTGCGAAAAAAGAGTAAAATGTAGCTTATAAAGGGGTTTTTTTACTAAGCAGAAGTGATATAAGAAGGGCAGAGTATATGGAGAGTATAAGAAAGATGAAGGGAGTGGTGAGAGAGTGCAAAAGGAGAGCAAATGATCGAGGGGGACAGGAAACTATCAACAAATTTTGCTGAGTATAAGAAAAAATTTAGAGTGAGGTAAACAGGTTAAGAAAGCCAGGGAATGAATTGATTGTAAGTTAAAAACAGAGTAGGGAGTTAGTAGATGGAAATTATTGGTAGTGATGGTAATATTTTGAGTAATTTTTTAATGTTGCTGAAAAAAGGGGAAAGGCAGTAATTTCATGCACTGGTCAGGAAGGTAAAAACATCTTTTAGGTGAAGAAAGCAGGATATGAGCGTGGGGAGGGGGCAGGAGGCATTACATAGAATGAAAGAGGATGAAGCACTACAACACTATATCCCCCCCCCTGTTAAAAGCAGGGAAGGATATAGTGTTGGAGTGGTTGGTATTTTTGTTTAATAAATGTATGAAAGAGGGGAAGGTACCTAGGGATTGACAGAGAGCATCCCATAATTCCTTTATATAAAGGGAAGGGGGACAAAAGAGATTGAAAAAATTTATAGAGGAAGAAGTTTTACTGAGTATACCAGGAAAAGTGTACGGTAGGTTTATTATTGAAAGAATTAGAGGCAAGACAGAATGTAGGATTATGGATGAGCAAGGAGGTTTCAGATGGGTAGGGGATTTGTAGATCAAGTGTTTACTTTGAAGCATTTATGTGAACAGTATTTAGATAAAGGTGGGGAAGTTTTCTTTGGATTTATGGATTTAGACAAAGCATTGATAGAGTGGATAGGGAAGCAATGTGGCAGATGTTGCAAGTATATGGAATGGTGGTAAGTTACTAAATGCTGTATGAGTTTTTATGGGATAAATGAGGCTCAGGTTAGGGTGTGTAGGATAGAGGGGGACTACTTCCCGTAAAAGTAGGTCTTTGACAGGATGTGTAATGTCCCATGGTTGTTTAACATATTTATAGCGGGGTTGTAAAAGAAGAATGGTAGGGTGTTAGGGAGAGGGGTGGGATTAAATTATGGGGAGTAAAATACAAAATGGGAGTTGACACAGTTTTCTTTTTGCTGATGATACTGTGCACTGGGGGATTCTAAAGAAAAGTTGCAAAGGTTGGTAGACGAGTTTTTGGATGGTGTGTAAAGGTAGAAAATTGAAAGTGAACATGGATAAGAGTAAGGTGATGAGGGTATCAAACGATTAGATAAAAGAAAAATTGGAAAATCACATTTAAGGGAGGGGGCATGGAAGAAGTGAATGTTTTCAGACATTGGGAGTTGACTTATCAGTAGGGCTTATGAAGGATGAGGTTAACTATAAAATTGATAGAGGAAAAAAGGTGAGGAGTGCATTGATGTATCTATGGAGAAAAAACATCATCCATGGAGGCAAAGAAGGGAATGTATGAGAGTATAGTGGTACCAACACTCTTATATGGATGTGAAGCATCGGTTGTAAATGCTGCAGCGAGGAGGAGGTCTAAGGGTAATGTGTGGAGTAAATATTATGCAGAGAATTTGTAGTGTGGAAATTAGGAGGAGGTGTGGAGTTACTAAAAGTATTAGTCATAGGGCTGAAGAGGGGCTGTTAAGGGGGTTTGGTCATTTAGAGAGAATGGATCAAAGTAGAATGACATGGAGAGCATATAAATCTGTAAGAGAAGGAAGGTGGGGTAGGAGTTGTCCTCGAAAAGGTTGGAGGGAGGGGGTAAAGGAGGTTTTGTGGGCGAGGGGCTTGGACTTCCAGCAAGCGTGTGTGAGCATGTTAGATAGGAGTGAATGGAGTCGAATGGTTTTTGGGACCTGGTGGGTTGTTGGAGTGTAAGCATGGTAATATTTTGTGAAGGGATTCAGGTAAACTGGTTAGCCGAACTTGAGTCTTTTGGAAATGGAAAGTACAATTGCCCGCACTTTAAGAGGGGTTTGGCATATTAGCAGTTTGGAAAGGGGCATCTAAACTGTTTTTATCTGAGCACCTCTGCAAAGACATTGATTATGTATGAATGATGGTGAAAGTGTTGAATGATGAAAGTTTTTTTCTTTCTTTTTGGGTCACCCTGCTTCAGTGGGAGACGGCCGACATGTTAAAAAAAATAATATTTGTGAATATAATATGTTGTGAAGAGATTTAGGGAAACCAGTTAGCCGGCCTTGTGTCCTGAAGGTGGGAAGTACAGTGATTGCACTTTGAAGAGGGGTTCAGAATTTTTCTGTTTTAGAGGGGCATCTAAAATGTCGTACCCTGCATGTATCTGGCAAAAACAGTGATAATGTGAGTGATGGTGGAAGTGTTTCTTTTTCGAGTTACCATGCCTTGGTGGGAGATGGCCAGTGTGTTAAAAAATGGAAAGCGTCATATTAGCGAAGCACTCAAGCAAAGCGCCACATTAGCGAGGTATGCCAATACAGTCTCTCCTCACTTAGTGACATACACGTTTACTGATGCCTCAGACTTAGGACCGGGGATCTGACCAGTTGCTTACCTAAATAATGTATATTAGAGATGGTTTCCTCTGTTCTGTTTATTACAGTATAAGTATGTTACTGTATAAACTTTAAAAATACATCAGAAATGTTTTTAAATGGGGGCAAAGGTGCCATTAAAACAATATCAAAGATGGTTGACATAAACCCAGTACCATTATAGTCTGGTCCTCTCTTAGCGACAAATTTGTTTACCGACGTTGTCTTAAGAACGGAACTCCATCGTTAAGTAAGGAGAGGCTGTACTTGCGTTTTGTCCATTAGCCATCAATTCATTTGCTCATATACCCTCAACAGGAAGAACGAGTCATTCTATGTGATCACACAAGACAGCATGACTCTGGATGATGTGGAGCAGCTTCTCCGAGAGACGGACCACAATGGATTCCCTGTAGTTGTAAGCAGGCAGTCTCAGTACCTGGTTGGCTTTGTCGCCAGACGAGACTTAAACATCGCCATCAGTAAGTAAACAGGTCTTCGGTGTTTTCGTGTATTTGAGGATGTGTTTAAACATGATAGGTGATAGTATATGTTCTCTTGATGGTCTGTGATACTGTGTGTCTTTCTCTCTCAGTAATGTTTCTACCAACAATATTGTCACTGGTTATGAAGACACATAGACAGAATAAAACTTTTTGCTTTGGATTGAGCTTGGTGAAATCCCAAGTCATACTTGATAAAGCTCAATCCTGAGGGAATTGTTCCAAAATAAAGGTTTACTTTACAGAACTTAATTCTATACCCGCTTGTCAACTTGTCCCGGTCACCAGTGTTGTCACTGTTGAAGTCACAGTACCTTGGCTACAGCAATTCACACCTAACCTACATATTGGAGATACCTCCTTATTCTAGAGTCACCTCTGGTACAGAACCTCTTCTTTGTCTTGTACAGGAGGGCCCTGTTTAACCTGCTATATAGGCTACTGCTGTAAAGTGAAGCATAGTCTTTTATCACTTTCAAACTCACATAAAAGCCTGGTAATATGTTTATTCTATTATATATTAAGTGAGCGATAGTGCTAGGGCTAAAAAAAATGCATAAACTGTACATGTATTACTTACCTTAAAATATTTCTCTGAAGCTTATAGTGAGTGGTGAATATATTTATTGTAGGAAGTCTGAATAAATGAAGAATGGGTATAATTTAAAATTGCTGCATTATCGAAACTGTAAAATAAGGCACTGTAAAGCGGGGCTCTCCTGTATTTACCTTGTGTGATTCACATGCTATCATAATATGAAAGAACTGTACCAGTTTCTTCGAGTTCCAGAATAGCTAGAGCACGATGACTATATAGGTCTGCTTACCATAGGCAGCAACAGCATGATTGATTGGATAATTCACAGAAACAATCTAATTGCAGACTTGGCTGCAGAAATAGTTGATATCTCAAAACTGGTCATAGTTTTAATCTTGTAAGAACATTGGGAGACGGCGGACTTGTTAAAAATAAATAAGTAAATAAATAAATATTTTTTTATTAGCAAGTCTGCCGTCTCCCACTGAGACAGGGTGACCCAAAAAAGAAAGAAAATCCCCAAAAAGAAAATACATTCATCATTCAACACTTTCACCTCACACATAATCACTGTTTTTGCAGAGGTGCTCAGAACACAACAGTTTAGAAGCATATACATATAAAGACACACAACACGCTCCAACTGCTAAGATCCTGAAA